GACACTGAATACAGTCGTCGCCCGACTCTGACTCAGTCACCACATGTCCGCCGACACCGAGATTTGCGCCCAAATGCGGACAATAGGCGGACAACACGTGGACCGCACCCGACGGACCCCTGAATGCCACCAATTGTTGTTCGCATAATTCAAACGCTTTAACACTATTTGTGGCCAAATCTCGGGAATCCATTATAATATACCACGTGTTGGCGTACGTACTCTTACTGCCAGAATTTTTCTCAGGGATCGACTTTGGCTGTCAAATGAATACACCATTGTGTATATTGTAAATTAAGTTCATAATTAATAATTATTAAAATCAATTAGTAAGTAATAACCTAGTATAGTAGATAATAAATTTTTATAATCTAAATAACATAGTTTATTAGATCTAGAAGTGTGTGTATATATACCATACCTCAAATTTTGGCCATTTTCTATTAAATAACATATACCATATGATATATGTTACAATTATTCCAATTATGATCAAGTACATTATTTAATAATGATAAGCAAACTGTTCTACGTACAAAGCAAACAAGTTTTATAAGTAAGTGCAAATGTTACGAATATTGATTAATCTGCAAAAATGAAAATTTTTAAATTTATAATATAAATTAATTAACTCAATGTCGTACATGTAAAACCATTAAATTAATTAACTAATTGTTAGTTTATAGCTTAAAAATATTCTATAGTTATCATTGATCACTTACTATTCATAACATACAGTATACTGATAATACAAACTAACTTATATGCAGACTTATACAGCAATGTCTGACGATGTCGTGAGTAGTCATTTGATACTATAATAAAATTAACTTAAAATTATAACGAACAAGGAAGTTTTTTTTATAACAGTTTCAAAACTGTTCTTGTTTAAAACATTATTATTATTACAGCAGTTAACTATTATATATTAATTTAAAATAAAACTTTTTAGTAATATTAATGATAACACACGCTTGCACTTTATTATCCTAAGTTATAATATAACAAAACTAAAAATTAATCAAATAAAAGGCAAAATATAAATAATTAATATATAATAGAAGAATAAACAATTAATTTAAGTTATATATATTACCAGGCCATTCCAAAATAGAGAGGGGCTTTTATTATTTGAACGTGGTTAATGTTTGACTTTGGTAATTTTTATATATTACTCTCTATAAATGTGAATAGTGTATGAATAAATGTGCACTATTCTTTATAAATTTGCCCTACGTTGGCCCTAGGTTGGAATGCTGTGTATATTACAAATACAATAATTCTTAAAATCATGCATTACATTCCATGTACTCTAACATAATTGAATAGATTTATATTTTGTTAGTCTATTTAAACTATTCTTGTAGACTATTCTTTTAAACTATACTTATATGAAAAACTGAAGTTTTTCATATAAGTATTTGTTAAATGTAATTAAAAATTACACATTGCTATTTATTACGACAATCTGTTTTCACATACAATCTGTTTTCACATACAATCTGTTTTTGTATCTTTACTTGTAATTAACATTACTTTTCTTTATAAGATTATTTTCGCAAATAAATACACATAAAGTCTATATCAATATAAAGCATGAGTTCTCACACTTCGGGCAAACAATTAAGCGATCGACTGATGGATACGTTGGAGGACTCGATGGCCAAAATGTTTGCCACGGATTACGTCCAGAAGATACTAATGACCGGAGAAATGAGTGATGAGAACATACGGTACGCAAAGGTATACTGGAAGCGATCTAAAGAGTTGGCTTTGGGTGAGTATCTGATCCCTGATTATTACATCCATAATGAATAATACTGTAGAGATTGGAAACATATAAATAATTCAACCTACGTGATAAAACATTAATTAATATGTTGAATAACATTTCTAGTGGCAATTGAATTGCTGAAACGGGCCTACAGTGTGGCAACCAATGAAGGCGATCGTAAAATCGTGGATCAATGGGTGAAGACAGTGCCCGAAGAGTTGGCCGCATATTATCAACGCTTTGAGCAGAAATTGGGTGGCATTGGATCCGATGTGAAGATACAGGCAATAGACGAGACAATGATTGACTACACGCTAATGCATAATCGGGAAATGAAGCGTGGTTCATTTGTGAGAATGATGGTCACCCAATTGGTGGGCAATTGGCACGTATTACGGGTGCACCAGTATTTGAAACGCCAGCCTCTCTACCGACCCAACCCTATGGTTACTTATTTTTTGTTTACAGAATTTCCAATTGAAACTTATGTGAGTTTATTGAAAAATATGATCGATTCAAACGGTGGCCAAATATCGCCGCCCGAAGAGCTAGAGCTGATCCAATTGGCCAAAGAGACGATGGATTTGGATATGAAAATTCATTTAAATCTATAATTGCATGCACTATTATCTTTTATTATAAATTTTTATCTACAATTAATTTGTGAAACTGTGGTTTATTTACATTTATAATTAAAAATGATAACGTAAATGCTATTGTTAAAATGTTTAATAATTTATTTATTTAATTTTCAATGTTAAAGTGGATTGCTTATAGAAATGAAGTTGAGTTTTAATCATTTTCATTGATTGCATTGTATTTGAAATGAAGGAAATTGCCGATCAAAGCGAATAGTTGGTGATCACGGGTTTGTGTGTAGCTTTTGGTGGAGCGGTTGTAAAAAGCGGTGCACTAATCGGTAAACCGGAACCGGAAGTCGATTCCGTGCGGATCAGTGCGTTGACTGATTGGCCGTCACGGCGTACTTCAATACTTCACTGCCTCGCGGGTCGTCACGACTATCCCAGCCCTCCGTGGTTTCGGAGGCCAAGATCAGGCTTCACGCCGATCGCCGCCCTCCACAGTGTGAGGGCAGAGACCATCGAAATAACCCAAAAGGCATGGCTTTGTTTAAATTGAATTTTTATTTAAGTGTTTCGTTTGAGGCAAAAGTATGAAGTAATTCAAAAATACAAAAAGTGTTTTTCAATACAAAAAAAGTAATAATTATTAATCAGTTATTTCTAATGAATAGCTCTATAATAAATGGAAAATTACTAATTATTCAAAATATGACAAAAAGTATAGAAATTATTTTGCGTCAAACGTGAGAATGATTTATACACGTCATATTTAAATATGTAAAGATTAATTTTTCTTATGACATCAGCTTAATTATAAATTTTATAAAGCGAATTCTATATCTACTTTTAAGAGAATTCTAAGAGAATAAACTAGATAATTATTATAATCAAAATTTTAAAAAAAAGTAATACTAATTAAAATTTTAATTAATTAATGAATTGTCAATTAACATGCAATAGACATAAGACAGGCACACATTTATTGGACAGTCGTGTAATCGAGAGCCGACTGATCGGAGCGAAGACTCCCGCCGTCGACCGGAATGAGTGCTCCCGTAATGAACGACGCGGTGGTGTCTGAGGCCAGGAATGCCACCATTTCTGCCACTTCTTCCGGTTCTCCGATACGTCTTAAGGGGTAAGCCTTTCGGCAAAACGTCTCCACAGAGTCAAGCATTTTGTCGTTTTTGGTACACGTATTGAATATAGGGGTCCGTATGGCGGCCGGGCTTTAATCACGGTAATAGATTGGGTATTAGTAATAATGATTAAGTTAAATAACATTGTTTAAATCAATAGTTTAAATGAAATAAATTAATAATAGGTTTAAATAATTTTAGAAATAATTTTGATGATAATGAAAATAAAGTTATGTTTTACTTAACACTATTCACTCGAACACCTTTAGGCCCCAACTGTAGTGCCAGGCATTTAGTAAACATATCCAGGGCACTTTTGGCCATACAATACGCCATTGTCATCGGATTCTGTTAATTATTATTTAAAATGCAACTAAGTTTTATAACTATTAATAAATGACATACAGGTCTGAGTCCGGCCACACTCGAGATATTAACGATATTGCCTTTCGTTATCTCCAGATATGGAACCACTAATTGTGTCAACACTTGAATACTTCGGACGTTTGTATTGAACACTTCATCAAACCCTTCGATATATTTCTGGTCACCGATTTGGACAGTAGTGCCGACTCCGGCGTTATTGATCAGAATATCAATTTTGCCGAACTCTGTGATAGTCTTCGCCACCAATTCCTCGATGTCTTTGTCCACCAATAAGTCAGTCCTCACTCCGAGTGCTCTCTGATTGTCCCGATTCTGGCATTTGTTGACCACTTGTTGGATGCGTTTGTCATCCCT